ATGCTGATTTAGAAAAAGGTAGTTAGGATGGTTCGTTGGTCAGACTTGCCGGTGCTAAACGGTACGTCCACGCGTTATGTCAATTGTTCCAGCAGATAAGATTCGGTAGAAAATAGGAATTAGGTTCCAGAGGTTCCTTGATCGATACGAGGATGATTGTTCTTTGAGTCTGACATGATATCCTGATTAACGAAACTAGAACGAATTTTAACTGAACGAATTGTTTGATTCTTTGCTCGGGTATTCTTTATCCGTTTTATGTAAGTTAGATATTCTGGGTATGAATGAATTATTGTGTGTACCTGATTATATGTGGTTGCACTCATAGGCTTACCCAATGATTTCCAGGGAACTCAACAGTTTCCTTTTATTGCTTTCCTTGGAAGTATGAAGTTTCAATGAGGTGGTTTGGATGGACCCTCAGTCCAGATGAGATTGTAATCAGGGTTTCGTAAATGATAGTGATGATGATGGTTCACGAAACTCGCAGATTAGAGTCACCAGGTATGCTTTACTTTTGGGTAACTTCGAAGACTGATTTGAAGAGAATATAAGTTCTTAGAACTCTAGACTTTGACTCTAACTTTGCACTTCTTTTACAAGACTTCTGATGTACTTCACAACTTTACACTTCCACCGCTGAACAGGAGCTAGAACTCCAACTGGAACTGGAACTGGAACTCTCTTTTTAGGCTCTCCAACCCCTTTTAAAGACTTTGATTCTTATCCCTTCCATTACTTCTCATGAATCTGATTGGTCTTTAATTCTCTTTCTCAATGATCATTTAACAAATCAGAGTACTAACAATTATCTATCTGTTGTTGCATACCTGAGTCTTCCGATTCTGTACCTGAAACCTCGCGAGTACTGCTAGTCTCGAGGAGCTTCAGGTTTATCTTTTATTCCAAGACATAATAAAGGATTAGTATGACAAATTCCTTAAGAACGTAATACCTGATAGAAATAATAAGCGTAACATTTTCCGGTCAAATAAGTGATAACGTAATTAAAGATTCCAATAATATAACGGAATATAAAACAAGACAAAAGTATAAACTTATAAGTATAAATCAATAAAATTAATTATATCAAACGATTAATCGACATATGTGTGTGTATAATGTCTGTATAGGTTAGGGTATAACAATAATAATATGGTTGGCCATGGGTATAAGTGGCTGTGTATATGTATGGGTTAACTAATATCGTATATTGGAGGGCTGAGACGTAACTTCTGTATGAATTTCGAAGAACTGAATTGAAGAGAATATAAGTTCCTAGAACTCTAGACTTCGACTCTAACTTTGACTCTAACTTTGCACTTCTTTTACAAGACTTCTGATGTACTTCACAACTTTACACTTCCACCGCTGAACAGGAGCTAGAACTCCAACTGGAACTGGAACTGGAACTCTC